CACATAAGGTGAAGATGGAAGGAATGTTGTTGGAGCAATTTAAGTATGTATGTGCTACACCAATCACTGGATACCCAAACTCTAGTAGGATCCCATATTGACTAAAGTCGTTTTATTTTAGAAGCATCATTTCTTGAGAAGAAACTTCTTGGGGTGACAAGTAAGAATTAGAGATGTATTGAGATTTCCTTCTTGTTACTCTTTACCTGTTCTCAACAGGAATAAAGCCAATCTCCTAGAGACTGGTATTTGCTATCTTGGTCTGTTATTTACTTCTTGGCTTTATCTGTGGGCATAAATCCAAAGAATAGATTTTGAGTAGCATCATCTTCTATTTACCTATGCCAGATTAAACCACACATATAATTAGACATTTTTTATATATGAAGGCATTATTAAACTAGATATTTTAATGGAATTTAAACCATATTCTTGGACATGAAATCAAACTTCTGTGTTGTTTTTTCTATTATAGAAATGTATCTATTTAAACTACAGTATTTTCAAAGACTGAGCAGATAATCAGAGAAGCTGGATTATATGACAAATAATGCAGTACCAGGACTGAAGGAACATTTATTAACAACCTGTGACACGCAGAAGACCCAGCACTCTTGTTTGTGGAAAGGGAGGAGAACTTACAGCCCTTGCTGCTCCGGGCCAAGGATTGTGACTCAATGTAAAGAGGATCAAAATCCTCCCACCTGGACCAACAGGTAACCTCGTGATAAGTGGAGAAAAGCTTGAAGTTGCCAAGGCTTTCATGGCTCTTTGCACCATAACCATTGTTCATGGAAGCAACAGTCAAGAGCGAAAGCAAGTTCTCTGCACAAGCCCTCATTAAAGTGTTGAGAAGCTAGGACGCTGTTCTTTTCAGGACTAAGATATATCAGACTCAAGGCATGGTATTTTCAACCAACTCATCTGGGTGTGACCTTTGGACTTTGAATAAGGAAGACCAGAGAGAAATCCATGCAGTAAACTCGGGTGCTGCTGAAGAATGTTGACAGCACTGGGGACTGCCAAAAGAACAAACAAATGGGTCTTGGAAGAAGTGCAATGAGGATGCTCCTTCGAGGCAAGGACAGAGAGACTTCGCTCATGTACTTTGGCCCTGCTATCAGGAGGGACCGCTTTCCGGAGAAAGCCATTAATGCTCGGTCAAGTGGCTGTCACGATGGGCTACAATAGAAGAACAAGTATGCGGACAGGGCAGGACTGGGTGCTGTTTGGTTCTTTGGTGCATAGGGTCACCATGGGGTGAGGGGCGGGACAGAATCAATGGAAACTAACAACAGCAACAAGAATTATTAAAGACAGTAACGCACTGGGTTCTTTAGCTTTTAGGCTATCTGGATTAGATTAGTACACTAGCACCTTCCACAGAAAGACGAGTTACTAGTGCTTCTACGGTGTGATCAAAGTTAAACCAAAGGAGAAAACAAAGGACTTTATTTTAAACCTCAGCCAGTCTGAGAAGTAAGAGTCTAAAGAAAGAGATGAATTTATTTGACAGTTTGTTCTTTCTTCTCAACACAAAAGGCACTATTTTCTCAAGAAGTTCATGTTTTGATATTTTTTATCACAGTAAATATATATCACAAAAATACGCTGCTTGATTCAACTCATCTTCAGTGTACAGACGAGCAGCATGAATCACTTTCACCAGGCTTCACAACCGTCGCCGCTGTTCATTTCAAAAATTGTTTTTATCACTCCACACAGAAAGCCAGGAGGCCTTCAGCCATAACTCTCCATTCTCCACTTTGCTCAGTAACCAACGATACATATTTTTCTATATAACTCCCTTTTCTAGAGATTTCACATAAGTGGGATCATAGAACATTCATCCTTTTTGTGCCTGGCTATTTCACAAAATAATATTTTCTGCAAGGTTCATTTATATTGTAGCATGCATCAGAACTCCATTTTTTCTTACAGCTGGACCATATTTCACTGTGTGAGTGAGTGCAGCACACCTAGTTTATCCATTCATCTCCTGGGGGCCGCTGGGTTATTCCCACCTATTGGCTATTGCACATGCTGCTGCAATGAACCCTTATGTTCAAATATCTGAATAAGGCCTTGCTTTCCAATCTTCTGGATGTACACCTAGGAATAGGGTCATGTGGGAATTATATTTATATATTGGGAAAAACCTAACTTTTCCATAGCAACTACATCACTTACTATTCTCAGCAGCACTGGGTTTCATTTTCCCGAATGCTTGCTTACCTTTCTATGTTTGCTCCTTTCTGATAATAATCATCCTCATGGTGTGAAATGGTATCTCATTGAAGCTTTGATTTCTGTTTGCCTAATAACTAATGGCACTTAAGGTTTCCCCTCTTCGCTTGGCCTTTCTTGTTCCTCCTTTGGAGCAATGTCCCTTGAAATCCATGTAGTCACTGCGCTAGTTTGCTTTGTGTTGCTGATTTGTAAAGTGCATGGTCTGAGCAAGTAGCCCTAGAAAGACTCTGTGCCTCTCCCTGCCGGACTTGACTGTTCTCTATCCTTCCAGGACTCTGTACTTTCACCTGCTCTCCAAAGTGAACATTGCATTTTTTCTACCAGTAGATGAAGCCCCCCTCCTTTACACTAGTCCTGCTCTTATTGGTGTGTCCCCTGAGTTGACTGTGACTCAGAGAAGCCTGTCTGACCAAGTCAACGAGCCTCCTGGGGTTTTGCAAGCGGTCATCTTCTTGGACGCGGACACCCGTCACCAGGTCTTGTCTTCTGTCATGTCTCTGGCTGAGCTCTGACTGTGGCTCTTCCCTTACTTGCTGCATCCTGAGCCCTTGCTCACACTAGGGTGTCGGAAACTCTTGATAAGGCTGCCTTTTTGTTACTGTTGCTCTTTAACACCAAAGCAAGCAAGCCAAGAAACTACTCATCAGACTATTTTTATTTTTAAAGCAACAAAACTTGAGAGAAACTATGAGCTTCCAAGTAAGGTTACAAGCCAACATCAGGTAGTCGCCATGAAGCACTCCCTCACTATTTTACTTTTAGACTCATCTGCTTTATCTGATCTTATTGGTTTATATACATACTTCCTAATGAAAATTCTAATAAGAACAGATCTCAGGTTCTTAAAGCAAATATATTCTCTGACTTGTTTCATAGACCCCAGGTGCATTTCTGGGAGGCAGGAGACCAAGAACCCACTGACAGCCCAGCCCAGAGAACTTTGGAAAGTGAACTTTCCACCTAATGAAAAAGTCGCTATTGCTTCATTTTTTTAATGCTGTTTCTTGAAATTGAATCTCGAGTCTTTTCCCACAAACCATGGAAGAATGTTATCGAGTGTATCCAAGTTCACATCAGAACAGCCACATTTGCTTAAATAGTAAATGCTCCCAAATGTTGACTGAAGGAAGAAATGAATTTCTTGATTGTATTTGTACAACACTAGGATCTTTCCATTTGTTTGTTTGCTCCAGTCTGGGAAGAGCAACTTCTGTCCTTCACCCAGCTGGACCTGACCACATCTCTGCGCACATTTTCACAGGCTCTATGTTTCTTGCCAGGCACCACTTCCTACCCAAGTGTTTTCGTGAACACGCTCAAAAGTTAACATGATATGCTTTACACAAGTACATTGGGAGGAGGACGCATTTTGCAAAATGCATACTGTGAGTTATTTGCATGGAAATCTTGTGTGTGGAGTCACTCACAGAGGAACCTATCTACATGAGCTAGTTCGCGGGATGCCCCTTACAACAGCGTGGAGAGGGTTTTTCTTCCCATCAGATTCTATATCAAGTTACAAGGTGTGGATGCTTATCTTAAAATAAAGCAAACGAAACAAAACAAAACGAACTTCCTCTATGATGATTGCAGCATTCTGCAAATCCATGGGGAAAGAAAAATGATGTTGAAAAGAAACTCTTATCTCGAATTCCCTGCTGGCCCCATTTCTTCCGCAGTGGCTACAGGAAGCCAGCAAGCTCCCACAGGTGGCTGCTCTTGGGGTTTTGATGATGTTTGTGAAGTGGTGCATGGAGAGAAAAGGGGAGGACAGAAAGCCCATTGGGAGATGTAATGAAGCAGCATGGTGGGATGTGACATGGTGAGGGCAGACTTGGAAATGCATGACCGTAGACTCACACCATACAGGGAGGAGACTTTTTATCTGGCTTCCACACCTGCCCTATCACAGAGCTACAGGGTCTCAGCACGAGGCTCTGCTGCTTGCTTCTCTCCTTGCTTCTTTCCCAGCCTTCCCGTCCCTGATCTGCTTTATCTGCAAGTCAAATGTGCTGAAGGCAACCTATCCTCTCGCTTAGAAAATCACAGCCCACTTCCTTGAAATTAAATCAACAAAGCTGATTTGACTCTCATTTCACTAGCAAAAGCAATAGCTGAATTTGACATCTATGCACCAACTGCGCTTGCTTACTATGTGTGTTCTGCTAAAGCGATCAGGTCAGTGTTGGACCTCTAATGCCAAGGTCAGCTGTTCAAGCCAGGCTTTCTGTTCTCATAAAGATTTACAGCCTTGGGAACCAATAGGGTTTTTATGAGTCAGGGTTGACCCCATGGTCATGGGCCACGGTGGTGCAAGGGATAAAGCACACCGCTAGTCAACCTGAATGTTTGATTTAAATAAATACAAATTAGTCCTGGGGTCCAAACTCTTCTTTGTGTCCAACTTTCCACTAAGCACAATAGGACAGCGGCAGTGCCAATAATGATTCACATTAATGTCATGCACTGCTTATTTTATTAAGCTATCACAAAACCACACTATGAAATGGATGTTTTCATTTCCAATTTCAAAGAGATACTACTGCTCAGAGAGATTAAATGACTCAGCAGAGGTCACAACGTCAGAGAGTAGTTGAACAGGTATTTGATATCAGGTCAAGCATGAAATCATTCCAATATGACAGCATAAAAAAAAGATGCTGGAACCTCAGTAATTCCTTGTATCATATATCAAACAACTAAAACCACTTCTGGTAATTGTTTACCAAAAAATAAACAAATCCACTCACCCAATGGCTTCTGAAACTGGGCACGAGCTTCAGTGTCTTTCAATTTACAGAGTTGAGGGAGTTCTCTACTCTGAATGACAACACACTCCCCAAAACCTGGGTTACAGAGAAAAAATAAGTAAAGGTTATTATTATTTTACTTAAGGAGGCTCTAAGAGGATGCTCTTCTTGCATGTGATTTTCTAAACTTATCCCTTAATTAGTTGCAAAAATAAGATTAGAAGCTGAACCTATCTTTGGCAACCAAATCGCTCCTGAATCTAAGCTGCAATCATTATAGAAATGTAAGGCTTGGAGATTCACCATTTTTACAAATAAAATACAGAATCAAATTGCTCATTCTCCATTTGAAAAATCACCGATTCCAGTTGACCTACACTTTGCAAGCATTTGTGTTCATTGGGCTATAGCCCAGGTGGATAAACATAGAATATATAAAGCAATTAATTAAACCATAATCAGTAAACACTCTTCCTAACCCTGCACATTAACCTTCTATCTTTGTGTCAATAATAGGCTTTCAGTCACGTTATAAATTACAGCTAAATGTAGTGAAATAGATTGCAATTTTAATTTGCTGGGCCTGTTTATTTTCCACAGTGAAAGTCTAAGGGCAATACCCAGAGAATGTGTTTTCCAATGTAAATGTTTTAGACATATTACATTTAATTTGTGCCTCAGAGATCACAAATGCTTGATCCAATTTTATTGGTATCAAAAGATGTCATTGTTCCCCAAAACTGTGGACCGAGATGTGGAGGGCCCAGACTTACCAGGGTAACTTGAGAATGGTGGGAATTGAAATGCGGGGAGAATACATACTTGCTCTAGAGGGTTGGAGCATTTGAATTACAATCCAAGTCTCTGACGCCAGAACCACACAGATCAAGAAAATGTCAATTCCCAAAGGATTGCCTGAGCACTGGGATAGCGGTGGATGGGCCTTTGTATTGTGTTTGGAGAGAGGAGGAAGAAAGCCTTTCGCTAGAAATCAGTGAACACCAGCTGCTTTGTCTGCTGGAGAACTTCATGTAAGAGGAAGACAACAGGGCAGAAAACTCTCCTGGAGCTGAAGCTTCGCAACTGCCTGACAGTTTGTACTATCTCGACTTCTCACCTAGGAGGGGAGCCTGGTGCAAGTAGCTAGGGGGTACACATCAATAAGCCGCCCGCCTTCTCTAGTCTCACTCCAATTGTACTATTAACTTTGTCAGAGGGGCGACTGGGATCAGACTGCTCAGTGTAGGGACTCTCCCTTTGATCATCAAGAGTAGGAGTAAGCACCTAGCAGGAGTAATCCTCAAGGGGGAAGAAAAGTGGAGAGGAAATACACATATGTTAAGGCTCTGGTGAATGCCCTTTTGCCAATGAATGACCCCAGATAGGAATGGCCTTGCTATCACTTGGAGTGCGCTGGGACATACAGTTTTGAAGATACAGATTACAATTGAACAGTTAACCATTTGAACTCCTTTTTGACCCATTTTAAATGTGTTCTAGTTTTCAGTGTTTCTGCTTTCTTTTTGATTGAGGTTTTTGTCTGTTTTACTTGGTTATTTTTGTTAACATTTTTCTTGGGGGTGGGGTTATATTTTTCTGTATATGGAATCCAGGATAGGTAAATCTATATAGAGAGTAACTGAATTACGTACTGGTTTCTTGGGAGTATGGCATGGGTGCTTGGTGCAGAAAGTGGGGGTGGGGGTGAATAAGTAGAAGAAAGAAGAAAGTGTTCTAAAATTGATTGTGATAATGATTATACAACTCTAATATGATTGAAGTATTGAATTGTATGATATATAAATGCTATGCCTATAAAACTGTTAAAACAAAAAAGGGCACATGGAGATCTTAAGTGTTTACATAACTTCACCTCTAATAGAAGTCTGCTGAAACCAGTGTCTTAGTCAAAAGGCAATAAACACATTGAACTACTAGCTGTTTAATCAATGCACATGGAACATAGACTGTCTCAGATATATTGCTATGTATCTTTCCCATTGGTTCAAATTGTGTGGCTATTTGATTTTGCGTATGGATTTCTCTGTTACAAGGAAACAAACAAATGCACACAGATAAAAGGAGCCCATCAGAGTGTCTGTCTATAGACTTTTTCCATGTACACAACGCACTGAGCCTCCAATCTAGCTGCCTTTCCGCTAGCTAAATGAGCAAAGACGCGGTTTATGCTCTAACAAACGAGAGGAAAAGAGTTGATTTCTCTGAAACATTTCCTGGCTATTGTCAGTGCTAGCATGATTTTCACCATTATTTGTTTGTTTGAAGATGGTGGCGATATTGGCACATGCATTATTAAGATGCCCCGCATATGGTAATTTTCATAATGAGATTTATTCTATACGCCTCCTGGAATAAAAAAAAAAAAATACAAGGAAACCGTTCTATTCCAAAGCATTCAAATGGCTGTAGGATAGTGAGATTCCATTATTTTTAATGGAACAAAATTTGTATTCTGAGTTCATTAGAATACTGAGTGAGTTGAAGAAACCAGTCCTGTTCTCAAGACATTCATGTAATAAAGCACTATGTAACAAAACCTGTTGGGTGGGGCATCAAATACACGAATGGCAACGAACTGAGTAACGGTCGAAGACCCGTCAGAGAAAGAATGCACCCTGCCCTCCTCCATGCACAGTTGTTGGTAGTTCGGGATCCTGATCCTGGGGCTCACACAACTCTGTAGCATCAGGGGACCCCAGGGAGGAACAAAAGGCTCCTTCTTTTTCACTCACATCGTCAGTACCTAGTAAGTTACTTGGATTAGAGTCAAAATAAAATACGTTCCTCTTCAATCAGAGCAAAAGAATTTAAAGTGCAATGGGATTGAGTTACATCATGACAATCTGTCTATAAACTCTGAGGAGCCAGTGTCAGGATGAATGTTTTTTATTTGAATTATCTAATTTACCAAGGTAAGACTTTCTCCCATGGCGTCTCTGGGTGTGTACAAACCACCAACCTCTCAGGTAGCAGCTATGGCTAAAAGTGAGTAGAATTTAAAGGTTTTGTTGACCTTGTGTCGCATTATTGTGAAATGCACCCAAAGAAGATCTTTCAACTCCTTTGGAATTCTTTTCGGCAGCAAGGGACATAGAAGGTGGACTTTGCCGAGCATAATTCAATTGTAAAACATGCTTCTGAAACTTTGGGGGAACTTCATACGGTTTGCATAGCTACTTAGATATACGGCTAGACTGAAGGGAAACTACTATTTGTTGAAAGCTTACCATATGGCTTTGATTGATTGACAAATATACACATATATAAATGTAATTTACTTTTCACAATAGGCCATTTGTCTAGGATCACCAGAGTAAAAGAGGGAGAAAAGAAATTCCAGGGGATTGACTGTTCATTTCCAAATCCAGTGTTCTTTTCACATATCATATAATAACTCTAAATATACTTTTAAAATATGGCTGGATGTAAGCAAGTCACTGGAATCTACTTTATGTGCTTTGCAGACTATAAGATACCTACACAAATAAACTACCCTCTCCGCAGTGGAGTGAAATTACTTGCTGTGGCTCTTCTACCATAGACTTTGCAACTCCCCTTCAGTGACTCTAGAGGAGCAAGTAAATATGGTCCAGAGAACTCTCTGTTGGGGATTCCTCAGTTTTGAAATTTGGTGGAGGAGAAAATGAGCTATCTCACAAGATAATTTCCCAAACGTCAAGAGAAATGAGCCACCATGGGGATGCCTATGAGATTCTTGCTTTAAGTAGCATCAGAGGCAAACCAGGTGGAGACAATGAGATTGGGTAAAATGTGTGCCTTTGGGCAAGAGGTTGGTTTACAAAGTAGGCCTTTGCAAATCTATCAGCATTAAAAGAGCTTTGTAACATTTGCCTACACAAGGGCATGGGCGAAGCAACCATGTGGCTGTGAGGCTGGTGACCAGATTGAGAAGGAGGGCCAAAAAGGGGTATGCCGGCCAACATCACTGAAAAGATGCTCTGCCAGGAACAAGGGGATTGTACTCTTCAACCTAGCTCAATTAACCCTCATAATTGTGAGTATGGTGTTTAGGCTCTGTGTAGTCATTGCAAGGACTTATTGAACCTAGCCCAGAGTGCTCTGGGAGTGACAATTGAGCTCAAAATCTGATAAAGAAGGTAGGCGTGCCAGAACTCTGCCTCAGACTCTCCTTCCTTTTGGGGTTCCCAGAGAAATCAGAGATGGATCCCAAGCTATCACTTCTCACGCTATCTCCCCCATGTGTCTCACTCACTATCTCTGTTGTTTTCTCTGGTTCGCTGGAGTATGCGATCAGCAAAACAAGTGTGTGATCAGCAAACACGGTCCCCTAAATATAACTGTCTGGGATGCAGTTACATTTTCCAGGTGAGAAGATTTTGGTAATCTGCTGTTAGACTATAAGTAATAATATAAGTAGAGCTTCTGAAACAAAAGTACCTTCCAGTTCAAAACAAGATTTTTATTAAAGTGATCGATAGAAAAATGAGACAAGACATTGCTTGACCCAAATAAAGAACTGAAGATGTTATTAGCCAAATGCGTCTTCGTGATATGTGCACATGAGACCACTTTGTACCTTTTCTTAGTTACCCAATGGGATTTTGTACAGGCAGAACATGTTAGCACCTCTTTATCCCATCTTGCTCTTTTCCTAGTGAACCTTTGCAAGAAATGCATTTGACTAGAAATCCGAAAGCAAAGCACTATGTTAGCAAAATGTGGTTGACACAGCTCTTTGTCCACATAGGACATGCTTCCTTGATGCCCAGGGGTCACTGAAACATCACCATGACACTGGTGAGGCCATGTCATAGTTCTCATGAGTGTCTTGTAAGAGACACTGACTTGTGCCCCCTTGTGATTATACTTTTCAAGAAATACTTGTGGTTTCTCCTGGATCTCTCTTTTTCCCCTCCTGCTGGACACAAAGAGGAGGGTGTATTAGAATTTACATTCTGAGTTTGTACCAAGTTTGCAGGAGGTTATATAGATCAGTGGTTCACAACCTTCCTAATGCTAAGACCCTTTAATACAGGTCCTCATGCTATTGTGAGCCCTCCCCCAACCATAAATTATTTTTGTTGGTACTTCAT